GGGCCCTCCGCCTTACCCCCACCGGCCCCTCGGCCCCCTCGTTCCTCAGGCCTGGGGACCGGAGTGTCCGGCAGGTCGGCTGCTGGGTGGCCCCGGGGCGGCCGCCCCCGAGTCCCTGCCTGGTGCCCTCTCGACTAGGGCTTGCGGGGACCCGCACAGGGCCCTCGGGTGCAGAGAAAGCCCTCGAGCAGAAGGGGAGAGGGCCGGCGGCCGCTGTGCCCGGGGCTGGGCGCGCCCAGTGCCACGCAGGACGCCTGGCGGCCCAAGGCTCAAGGAGCCCCCCGGGACTCGAAGAGCTGGGGCTGGGGTCGGTCTCTGGGCCATGCGCCTGGGGTGCTGCTGGGGGCTCCGCCCAGGGCCTCCCACAGCCTCCGAGGCTCTGACCCCCCAGAGTGGGCCCCACCCCCACCCCAGGAACAGCCCGCGCGTGAGTGCCTCGAGGGTGGGGGAGGCCAGCAGGGCTGACCCCCGCCGCCCCGCGCCCCTGCTGGCCACCCTCCTCCCGGACTCACGGCGCGGGTGACCGACAGGAAGCGGTCGTAGCTGATGAGCACGATGTTGAAGACCGAGGAGGTGCAGAGGAGATAGTCCACCACCAGCCACAGCTTACAGAGGCCCCGGCCGAAGGGCCAGCGGCCCGTGAGCACGTAGGGCACATACAGCGGGATGCAGAAGGCCCCTGTGGGGACAGGCGTGGTGGCGGCAGGCAGGGGCCAAGCCCGAGCCCACCCGGCGCCGGGGGCCGCCTCACCCTGGCACGCCTCCACTTGGAAACCGGCCTTCACCGCTGCCCGCCCCCGGTACCCAGTCCCACTGGCACCCCGGGACTGGGGAGCAGGAGGGAAGAGCCGGGCGTGGGGACCTCTGGGCACCTGGTGCCCCTCGCAGGGTACTGGGGCTGCCCAGCCTTCTGTCTGGCCCTCCCAGGCCCCAACGGAGGAAGGATTTCCTCCCTCCCTGCGGTCCGTGGGGACAGCCGGCCCCCGCCTGGTTCTTTGGGCGCCCCCCCCCCCCCCACGGTCTGTCCAGAGACCAGGGAAAGCCTTCCTGCCGCCCCCAGGGCACCTGGCTGCTGCCAAGCCGCCCGCCCCACGCCAGCCAGCCGGGCGGGCGTCTGCCAGACGCGCCTCCTGCAGCCCCAACAGGTGTCTGGCGCTCTGGCCCCCCGCGCCCCGCCCCCAGCGGCGGCAGCAGCTCGCGGACACGTGAGAGGCTCCTCCAGCTCTGCCGCGCCTCGCTCCCCCGCGGCGCCCTGCCCCCGCTCGGCTCCAACCCCCCTTCCAGGTCGCGCTCTCCCAGGCCCCCCCACACCCCCGCGCCGGGGTCCCGTGTCCACCGCAGCCTTTGTCTGGCTCCCGCGGAGCCAGAGCTGCTAGCTGAGCCCCACCCGCTCTCCCGTCCCGGGACAGCCCTCTCCGGCTCGTCCTGCCCGGAGGCAGGGAGCACTGGCAGTGCCCACGGCCCAGCAGCCCTGGGCACACACACACCCCTCCTGCCTGGACCCCTGCTGGGCCGTGGGCCGGGAAAGAGGCACCAGGTCCGGGCTCCCACCCCTGCTGGCGGGGCAGGGCCCGGCACCGGCTCAGACAGGGCTGGGGGCTTTACCCACGAGGAAGTCGGAGATGGCGAGGTTGAGCAGAAAGAAGTTGTTCTGGGTGCGGAGGCTCGAGTCAGCCACGAAGGCCAGCATGACCAGCGCGTTGCCCAGCACCGTGGCCACGATGAGTAGCGCCATGAGCGCGGCCAGCAGCGCGGTCCAGGCGGCCGAGAAGCCGCGCG